ACTTTCTCAAATAGGTAAAGTTTTTAGAAGATTGTGTTTTTCTCAGAAATAAAAGATACTACACAAATAGCCGAGATAACTGATATTCCAGAAAAAAGATTCAGTGTCATTGACACCAGCCTTAGGTTTCTGTTGAAACATTTCGGCGTCGAATGTCGCTATGGACCGAGCGCCGGCGACTGGGTTTGTCACTAAAGGTTTTTTCTAGAATACCATTTACCAGCTGACTGTGAGTATCTATGGGGCAGATTTTTAATTTGGCAAGGAAGACAAATTGAAACTTACTTTTTAAAGTATTTTGAGGACCAACTATTAAGAAAATCCCTAAAATAACGAAACACAATATCAGAGAAGTATGTGATAGTAAAAAGCAATGAAAACGGTATGCAATAGTTGTTACATTAATTTGTACGTCAACATAATAATTTCCAATAATCAAACATAGTTCAACATAAAACCTTTTAACTTTGATATAGTAGATCCAATGTGACAGCGTGATAAAAATACAACAAGTGCCACCAGAAAACATATATCAAAAATAAGATTAAATTAGAACTCTGGATTTATTAAACCATTAAAAAAATTCACATATTTAGAAGACTTCATAACTTTTTCAAATAGCTAAGTTTTTAGAAGATTGTGTTTTCCTGGGAAATAAAAGATACTACACAAATAACCGAGCTAACTGATATTCCAGAAAAAAGATTCAGTGTCATTGACACCAGCCTTAGGTTTCTGTTGAAACATTTCGGCGTCGAATGTCGCTATGGACCGAGCGCCAGCGACTGGGTTTGTCACTAAAGGTTTTTTCTAGAATACCATTTACCAGCTGACTGTGAGTATCTATGGGGCAGATTTTTAATTTGGCAAGGAAGACAAATGGAAGCTTACTTTTTTAAGTATTGCTAAGGACTAACTATTAAGAAAATCCATGAAATAATGAAACACAATATCAAAGCAGTATGGCATAGCAACAAGCAATCAAAACGGTATGCAATAGTAGTAAACGTCAACATAATAATTTCTAATAATCAAACATAGTTCAACATAAAACATTTTAACTTCGATATGGTAGATCCAATGTGACAGCGTGATAAAAATACAACAAGTGCCACTAGAAAACGTATATCAAAAATAAGATTAAATTAGAACTCTGGATTTACCAAACCATTAATAAAATTCACATATTTAGAAGACTCCATAACTTTTTCAAATAGCTAAATTTTTAGAAGATTGTGTTTTCCTCGGAAATAAAAGATACTACACAAATAACCGAGCTAACTGATATTCCAGAAAAAAGATTCAGTGTCATTGACACCAGCCTTAGGTTTCTGTTGAAACATTTCGGCGTCGAATGTCGCTATGGACCGAGCGCCAGCGACTGGGTTTGTCACTAAAGGTTTTTTCTAGAATACCATTTACCAGCTGACTGTGAGTATCTATGGGGCAGATTTTTAATTTGGCAAGGAAGACAAATGGAAGCTTACTTTTTTAAGTATTGTTAAGGACTAACTATTAAGAAAATCCATAAAATAATGAAACACTATATCAAAGCAGTATGTCATAGCAACAAGCAATAAAAACGGTATGCAATAGTAGTAAACGTCAACATAATAATTTCCAATAATCAAACATAGTTCAACATAAAACATTTTAACTTCGATATGGTAGATCCAATGTGACAGCGTGATAAAAATACAACAAGTGCCACTAGAAAACATATATCAAAAATAAGATTAAATTAGAACTCTGGATTTACCAAACCATTAAAAAAGCTCACATATTTAGAAGACTCCATAACTTTGTCAAATAGCTAAATTTTTAGAAGATTGTGTTTTCCTCGGAAATAAAAGATACTACACAAATAACCGAGCTAACTGATATTTCAGAAAAAAGATTCAGTGTCATTGACACCAGCCTTAGGTTTCTGTTGAAACATTTCGGCGTCGAATGTCGCTATGGACCGAGCGCCAGCGACTGGGTTTGTCACAAATTTTTAGAAGATTGTGTTTTCCTCGGAAATAAAAGATACTACACAAATAACCGAGCTAACTGATATTCCAGAAAAAAGATTCAGTGTCATTGACACCAGCCTTAGGTTTCTGTTGAAACATTTCGGCGTCGAATGTCGCTATGGACCGAGCGCCAGCGACTGGGTTTGTCACAAATTTTTAGAAGATTGTGTTTTCCTCGGAAATAAAAGATACTACACAAATAACCGAGCTAACTGATATTCCAGAAAAAAGATTCAGTGTCATTGACACCAGCCTTAGGTTTCTGTTGAAACATTTCGGCGTCGAATGTCGCTATGGACCGAGCGCCAGCGACTGGGTTTGTCACTAAAGGTTTTTTCTAGAATACCATTTACCAGCTGACTGTGAGTATCTATGGGGCAGATTTTTAATTTGGCAAAGAAGACAAATGGAAGCTTACTATTTTAAGTATTTTTAAAGACCAACTATTAAGAAAATCCCTAAAATAATGAAACACAATATCAGAGAAGTATGTGATAGTAAAAAGCAATGAAAACGGTATGCAATAGTTCCTACACCAATTTGTATGTCAACATAATAATTTCCAATAATCAAACATAGTTCAACATAAAACCTTTTAACTTTGATATAGTAGATCCAATGTGACAGCGTGATAAAAATACAACAAGTGCCACCAGAAAACATATATCAAAAATAAGATTAAATTAGAACTCTGGAGTTATTAAACCATTAAAAAAATTCACATATTTAGAAGACTCCATAACTTTTTCAAATAGCTAAATTTTTAGAAGATTGTGTTTTCCTGGGAAATAAAAGATACTACACAAATAACTGAGCTAACTGATATTCCAGAAAAAAGATTCAGTGTCATTGACACCAGCCTTAGGTTTCTGTTG